ACTGTTGCAGCCCGGCCAATCAGAATGCAAAAAGATGAGTTGTGCTTTGGATGACAAAGCACATGAAACAGTTGCTTCTGGCAGCTGAGGGTCATTTAGGCACAAGGAAACAAATGATTCAATCAGGATGAGTAGGATTCTTCCCTCTTATCATGTGGCAGCATGTTCCCCCTCTTGGCTAAATGTATTTGTGTGTGTGTGTGTGCATCAGTGGATGGGTGTCTTTGTGCGTACCTTGCTGTCGAAGTCAGAGGTGTTTACGCAGGCTTTGATGACATAGAGCAGTGAGTCAATCAAGCCCTCACAAGTGCGCATCTGTTTCCTGGCCTCCTCACCAGCTGAACTCAGGTTCCTTTGAAACACCATGCAGACACACACATACGACATTTGATTTGGGGCTTTGCTCAACAAACAGATGAGCATATGCAAACACACAAAATGACAGCTGTGCACGTGTGTGTGTGTCCCACTCGAATGTGTAATGTGGGCTTTGCAATCCCCATACACCAGCCATAATGTATGAGAGGTGTGCATGTGTGTGGTCTGACTAAAGAAATTACAGTACTTTGCTGAGTAAGTAAGGACCCGACGACCACACCTATGCATGTTTGAGTGCAGTGTTACACAAACAATCACCTCAACTAGCTGGCACCAATTAGAAGCTGTGCTCTACACACTGCACTGTTCTCAAAGGAAGAAGCCCCAGGAGAGAGGTTGTGAGTTTTCCAATAGTTTTGACTGTGATATTCAAAGAAATGGTGACGGCTTTAAAACGACAACAAGACAGAATAGTGTACCCATTTCACTAAATCATATTTAATCATTAAACCCATATTCATGAAAAAATGCACATCATCCTGATAATATTCGCTAAATAAAAATTGATTTACGAGCATATCTACAAATTTTTTATTTTTAGATTTGAGGCGGGTCACTTTATTATCATATTTTCTTCAAAAGCATGCTATGAGCTCATCAGTCATTACATGCAATAGCATCAGATGTCCACAGTGGGGAGCTAGTGCCAAGTGTGATCATCAGGTGGTTTACCTCAGGCAGCCTGTGGTGTTCCTCAGCACCAGAGAGGAGTGAAACTTCAGCTTGTGCTCGTCATCGAAGGTGGAGCTGCTCCATCCAGAGTGAGGGATGATCACAGTGTTAGTCAGAGTTGTTAAGGCGTCCCGGATGATTGTCATCTTGACGGCGTCACACGACGACAGGTTCCACAGCACCCCTGAGGACATAGCCACATGCAAACACAAGCGTTGAGAAGCAGGCGTGCAAACCTTCTGTCAAGTCAGCTGAGCTGTCATGTGCACTTAGGTTAACCGGGGGGGGAGAAGAGAGAGAAACCAACTTTGGCTTTTAGTTCAGTGTGTGCGGACGTGTCCGACAACATGCAAACCGAGAACCTGAGTAAAGATATGACTGTACTACAGCTCGAACATCAAGGCATCAGATATTCAAGTCAACTTTCATCTCTGCAGACTATCCTTGCGGCAAAGATTATTTGCTTGAAATGAAAAATATAGTAAGAATGAT